CCCTTCCGGAAAGGAGAGGCAGGAGTATTTTTAGACCTAGAACATTTTGCTATCATAGATTTAATTTCAATGTACAGTCTCATAATATGCCCAATAATGTATTTGAAATTAGCCACCTCAGAAAGAAGCGCTTTAAAAAAAATCATGCAAAATGTCTGAGAAAACTGGTTAGTGGTTCAAAGAAATATGCTGCAAGTTGGTGGCGACTCTGTACAGTCAGACTTACTCGATATCTTTCCGTACTGATCCCAAGAGATTTTCCCTTTCCCGTATTGCCAGAAAGTTGGTTTTGGTTTTATGGAATTCGTGTGTGTAATCCTGTAACAAAACAAGTGTTTCAGTTTCACTAGACCTTGTCATGACAGTACTCTGCCAACCAAGATCTGACTCTCAGGCATGTGGACAGAAAACTAGCCAATAAAAAGGTTAGTAAAAAATGGAAAATGGGCCTGAAAATTGTATTACTTCAACTACATTAGAATAGTTGCTTACTAATGATCACAATGGCAAAGGTTATACTAGAACATTACTGTAACTCCCTCCTCTTGTTTTCAGATAAAATAAGAATGGCTACACTGGACCAGACCAATAGTCCATTTCGCCCCGTGTCCTGTCTTCCAACAGTAGCCAATGCAGAAGCTTCAGAGGGAAAGAACAAAGCAGAGCAATTATTAAGCGGCTGCTCCTAACCTCCAGTTCCAGCCTGTGGCAGTCACAGATTTAGGGACATCCAGAGCATGGGGTTGTGTCCCTGACCTTCTTGGTGAGCAGCAACTGATGAACCTATTATCCATGAACGGATCTTAATTCTTTATGAACCCAGTTATACTTTGGACCCTCACAACACACATCCCCTGGCAATGAGTTCCACAGGTTGACTTTGCATTGTGTGACATATGTCCCTTCATTTGTTTTAAACCTGTAAATTCACACCTTTACCCTGCAGCTGGGAGGTGTCATCTCAAGTAGATGTACATGTGCTAGCTCTTCTCAAGTCAGCACAGTAAATGTATCTGTAGCAGCATGGATGGCAGCCAGGGACAGTTGCCTGAGTAGGTATACAGGGGTCAGACAGGAGTGTACCCAGGCAGCTAGCCCAAGAAGGGGCCTGGGTCACAACGGCCAACACCTCCATTTTTAGTGCACTCACTTGAGAAGAACTAGCTGTTTGTCCATCCAAAATGAGAATTACATCTCCCAGCTGCTATACAGAGCTATCCTCGATGTCTTTAGACACAGAGTTAGTTTGCTGAGGTTAATAATATTTAAATCTCTCAGTAAGAAATGTATCAACAATTCAATTACAAGACTTCATAAATGACAATGCCTTATTGCACTACACAAAGTACTTTTTGTTTTGGGAGTTGTTCTTGATGTTTAAGGCAACAGTATGAAAGGGGATCTTAAATGAGTATCTTTTTGACAACTATTTTTAATGCAAATTTCATTTTTCACCTCTCAGCAAAGGTCACGCCGAATACTACAGTGAAATTCTCTCTAAAAAAAATCAACATCAAATGAAATAGGATGTCAGTTTGTACAGAAGTCTTGCATTCTCTGCGAGACATCTAGGAAGCTGGTGAAGAAAAAAATGCATTCAAATACTGAGAAACTTTGAAACATCCCCAAATAATTTTACATCAAGACCATGTAGCTACCAAGTTAGGGAAACTGTATAGATCCCTGGGGACCTAAAAGAAAGTCATTTTTTTTGCTCATTAATTTTAGCTGCATGTGAAACCTTTGAAATAAAGTTTGCTTATATAGATGTAGCTTTCAATTGGTTTTTTTAATAGCTTCCTTGGGATAGCCTTTTCTTCATCTGAGAACCCCAACTGCGATTATGTTTTTGAAACTACTGGACTAACAAAAAATAGAGTAAAATAAACCCAAGCATGAAAAATGTACAATACAGCCCCAACATAGCTTCATTATATTATTTCAACATCTATAAAGAAGCAAGAAGATAAATGTTATAAAGATGACCCTTTTAAGACAGAAATTATTTTAAAATTCTACCCACACAGTGTGCACAAACATAGCAGTTGCCGGTGAGATTATTTCCTGTTGGTTATTAGGGTCCCTTTTTTATATCCTTCCCCTGACACCAAGATAGACAAAGACGTCTTTTCCATCAGACACCTTAACCTGCTATGCTCGGGCACAACTAAAAACTGGAAGCATTCACTTTTCAGTGATCTCGCGTCCCTCAAACTTCTCTCTGCCAAGCAACATTTTTGGGTTGTTTGAGTGTTTCTTTTTTTAATTTTTACACACAAATATTCTTGTAGGTTATACCAGTAAGTATCAATCCCAAGTACTTTTACAATGAAGACATAGTGTAAGAACAAGTAATGAGTGTGGTGTGCATGACTTACCTGCAATATGTCTCTGTGACGCTGTAATGTGTGCATCAGGGCTGCATTCAGGGATGGCACTCCCGCGCTGTTGGTGTACTCTGCCATTTTGTCATTTATTCCAGTAAGCTACAGAAAAAAATACAAAGGGACACTTTTCCATAAAGGAAGGCCAACGCTGGTTAACATGTTTTCAAGGAGGTATCTAGCGACCATGGTTACCAGTGTTACAAAACATCTTGTTTTGTTTAATGGAGGTATATGGCAATCTTGTGTCATCAAGCGCGTGGTCTGCACCCATGCAAAAACATTGTGTGTATTAAGGTCTTCAAAGTTCTATTTACCCTGCCCAGAAGTTGTTCGATCTCCACCGCCATGGTCTCAAACATTCTGTCTTGGCTCGATCCATTTAAGAGAGGAGTTGTGTCCGAACTACGAGGAAAAGAGCAGCAGTAGTTACTTGAATGGCACAACATCCTTTTGTGACAATGGGAACACAAGGCATCTATACCAGGCATAAGCACAAAGGCAATTTTCTAAATAGGTTTCCTAAAGTCATAAATGCCATTTAGAAAAAAACCCACCCCTATGCATTTTCCCCGTATCAAGTGCCTCATTAGTCCAATCCCTCAGTTAAATGCTATGAGCTACATACCCCTCAAATAGTCTAAATCAGGGCTACTCAACAGTGGCCCACAGCCTGTTTGCTTGCGGCCCGCGGTATGGCTTGGGTTTACATGGGGCTCAACATGCAGCCGGCAGGTGGAAGCCAAAACAAAAAAGTAGTCTTCTGTTGATATGTGTTTTAATAGTTACATTCCTGGATTGTCATTGCTCATTAAAAGTGCTGTCATATGGGTGGAAATCAGGTAAATATTGCATTTTATTAATATCGGCGGAACTGACTTAAATGGGGCCTGCATGTTGTGTAGTCTTGCCTTAAACTTTGTATTGATCCCCACTGGTGTGAAAGAAGCTATTGCATATATATCTGCATGTACTGTACATGCAACCACACTTAAGTTGCGGCCCTTCGCATGTGCTGAGAGTATCACTGTGGCCCCTGGGGCTTCCAGAGTTGAGTATCCCTGGTCTAAATGTCAACACCTACAAACTTCCAGCAGCAGAGCTCTCCTGATACAGCTGTGGTGCTGATGGGAGAGAGCTCTCCTGTCAATATAATGAAACCAGCTCAACAGGCGGTGGTAGCGATGTTGGCAGGAGAGGCTCTGTGGCCAACACAGCTCTATGCACACAAGCGCTTATGCTGGCAAAATCTACATTGCTCAGGGTGGTGTTTCTTTACACTCACAAGAGACATAAGTTTTGCCAGTGTAAGTGCTAGTGTAGACACACATGGTCTTACTTCTCTCTAGAAGCTAATGTTTGGCACTGCACAGGTGGTCAGAAAACATAACAGTAAAAGTTTTCTTATCTGGCATGTTAGGAAAATGGGAGGTGCTGGAAAGGAAAAATTCCCATTAACTAGAAGGGAGGGAGTTTGGATGTGGACGAGGGGCTTTGGACTGGGGGTGCAGGAGGGAGTGCCAGGCATGGGCTTGGGGATGGAGTGTGGAAGGGGCTTGGTGCAGTGAGTTGGGTCATGGGACAGGTTTTAGGGTGCCAGATCGGGGGTTGCTCATTTCAGACTTCTTCTTGCAAGCCACAACATGTCTCTGCTGCTCCAGGCAGGGCACGGCTAGATAGCTCTGGGCACGGATTCTGCAGCGCCCATTGGCCCCGGTTCCTGGGGTGGGGTGGAGCCAGCATAGAGAGTCACCTAGCCATACCTCTGCTGGTAGAAGCAGGGACACATCACTGCTTGTGGGAGTTGACTGAGGTGAGCAAACTCTGGATCTGGCACCCCAAAACTACTCCCATTTCCCATATCCCACATCCTACACACCTTCATGTGACCCATCTCTTAGCCCCTACCTCGAACCCCTTCTGGTCATTCCTCCACCTAAGAGCAGCAGGGACACATTGCCACTTCTGGGGAGCCACTCGGCACCAGGCAGGGAGCCTGCTGGCTCCGCACTAACTGCATCATGAACTGGACTTTCTCTGAAGATTACAGATGCCTATTTATAGAATTGTCCAGTCAATATGGAGTCAGGTAACACGGCTTTTACTTAAAAAACAAACACACACAAAACCAGACAAAACCAAGGAATCTGAGTCAGGTGGCACTCTGCAGACTAACACGTTTGTTAGGGTATTAGAGCTTAGCTTTCATGAACTACAACTCACTTCCTCAGATGCCAAAGAGAACAAGAACGAAAGCCAGGAAAAAAAAAAGGATACAGAGCTGGGACTGTAACATCAGTGCTAATTAAATCAGAATGGATGTGGCTCATCTCCAACAGTGAGGAGGTGAGAATACGCGAATGGGAAATTACCTATTGTTATGCAAGAACCTCTCCAGGTGTCTAGTTAGACCTTGGCGCAGGGTGTGAAATTTGCATATGAATTCCAGCTCAGCAGCTTGTCCCCGCAGCTTTTACTGTACATACTGAATAATAATGTTTCTTTCCTACACTGTTCTTTATGACTCCATTTTAGCAGGAAAGCAGGTTTCAAACGTTATAATTATGCAAATGTACGTTAACAATAATGGGCTCCTACAGATACATTTTACACAAGAACAACAGGCCACAGAAAAATTGGGATAAAATCTATTTTCTATACAGTCCATGTCCCCTATTTTTGTCAAAGAAATTAAAAATTACACAGGGAAAAAAAAATCACACAAGTAAGGGGATAGGCGTGAACACACAACAGACCCACACCTGTAAGACAGAGTGGATTAAAATCAATGATTTAAAATAAACTGAACTTTTTACTATATTAGATTTTTTATGTTTTAAAATCATCAATAAAATACTAAGCTTCTCATTTAAATATAGCAGTTACAATTAAATCTGATCACAAACTTGCAACATGTACACTTACAGTCTTATGAAAATAAATTAATGGCTCCAGTCTGTCCCGCCTAAACGACTAGCTCTTGTTTCTTAAATGTTCTGGGCTTTCAATTTCTCTCTCTCAGGAGATTAAAAAGTGCCATGTGCAAAGAAAGACACAACCTAGACAGGATCGTTTTTGTTCTATGCTCATGCAGTGATGGATTTTGGCCAAGCACGGCAGAGGAGTTAGTTAAGACATTGTCTTAAAGACAGAGAGAATATATTGGAAAGGACAGAGGCAGCATAAAAAGGAACAGTGGAGTGGACTGGAAAGAAAAAGGGATGATATTATTCGATACGCACACACAGCTTCCTATATTTCCCCGCACTTTTGCCACAGAAAAACTGTCATGGCTTCCAGGTGCAAGAGAGACCCTTTCTGGAAATATTTTGAAGAAATTAATTCCCTGGATAAAAAAGGAAAACATGTCAAGGGTAAGCAGAAGATTCAGGGCCTACTTGCAAGAACGAAACATCATAAGGAAAACTGTTTATCGGGAGAACATGATGTGGATACAGATGTGTATATGGCTGAGCTGGTCAACTGGTTAGTAACTTTAATTATTCACTTTGCAATGCATCAGACTTCAAGACTCTCTCTATGCCTTTTAGTATAAGAGTGATTTGACAAGTAAATTCCCAAGCTGTTTGCTATGTTGGATGTTGCTAGAAAAAAAAGTTTAGCTTATCTAATCCTTATGGCTTAATTAGTTAACTAGGTTTAGAATCGATCACATTACTAAAATCTACAGTACAAAATGCTGCAGTAAGAGAAATCTAGAGTTGCCACTGTCATTTTCTTATTTCATATTAGATGATACATGCCCCTTATTTTGGAACATCATGCCACAGACCATATTCTGTATTTTACTTTAGCATAACTCAGCTTTTCCAAGGGAACCCCGTTCTGTACGGGTACGTCTACACTGGCCACAATTTCCGGAAAAGGGATGCAAATCAGGTAAGTCAGGATAGGGAAATCCGCGGGGGATTTAAATATCCCCCGCGGATTTAAATAAACATGTCCACCGCTTTTTTTCCGGCTTGGGGAAAAGACGGAAAAAAAACGTCTAGACTGGCGCGATCCTCCAGAATAAAGCCCTTTTCCGGAGGATCTCTTATTCCTACTTTCAAGATCCCATCGAAGTGTAAAGACTTGAACTGTCTTTCTGCAATACATTCACAGTTATCCATTGGTATTTTTGGCAGCAGTGCTGCAACGAAACATATTTCAGACAACAAAATATCAGTAGGAAGCAAAAGATTTCAATCATTCAGTGAAACCACCACCATGGATGGGTTTGTAGTCAGGACCAGGAAATACGAACAAGACACCACAGATGAAAAAATTGCTTGGTTCATTTTTGCCACATTCTCCTTTTTGCATTGTTAACAAGTCCTTACAACCAGGTTATGCTCCACCTGGGAGAGCAGACATTGATGGAAGGTTGCTAGATACAGCATATGAAAAGGAACTTGAACAGTCTGTAAGAAATACTGTTTAAGCCTCGATGGGTGGAGCAATGTACACAATGATCCAGTCATATGCCTGCGTGATACTCGAAGATGGGGTTGCATCTCTTTCAGAAGCAATGTCCACATTGGGAAACGCCACCCAACAAATTATTTAAGAGAAATGGCAGTGAACACTGTAACAAACTGTGAACAAAAAATCAACTGCCACATGCACCGTTCTGTCTCAGACAATGCTGCAAACAGGGCAAAGATGAGAAGGTACTCAGAACACGCAGAAGGATGCGCCTTACTCACATCTGGCTGCAGTGCCCCTTCAATACATCTTTTAGCCACTCGCGTACACCTTTGCCAAGCACAAAAGAAAACGTTGTTGAAGTCACTAAATATTTCTGCAACAGCCATTTTGCTTTGGCTTCACTGAAGAGAGCAGGAGGAGTCAAACTAATTCTCCCTCAAAATATTCAATGGAATTCTGTGGTCATTTTGAACAATTTATTAAGCACGGGCCTAGTCTCATAAAACTGTGTGAAGAAACCTGTGATTAAATAGTTAGAGGTATCTCATCCAAAGTATCTAACACTGAACTAAACAGGAATGTTGCGGATATGCTCAGTATACTGAAACATATTATCCATAGCCTTCGACAAACTTCAGGGAAATTACTGCTGTATTGTTGATGGTGTAGAAATTTGGAAGGCACTTCAAGAACACTGGAGAAAGAAATCCACCCTGCTGTAAGATAACAGCGTACATCTTCTGAAGACAATCTTCTGTGCTTTGGTGACCTGCAATTACTGGACTAGGAAGAGGAAAGAAAACGAATGCCTTTTCTAAGCCCATTATTCTCTCTAGAAGGGAGAAGTCAGTGGAATATCCAGGTTATACAAACACTGCACAATACAATTCCAGGAACACGAGATAGAGAGATGGAGGAAGGGGCAGCAGGCCTGATTCAGGAAGGGAGTAGTCACTCCTGGCATTCGCTGCTCCTGGGCTTCCTCTGTTCACTGAAGAGGAGACCCTTTCAATCTGACGATACATTTAGACACCACGTTGGTATCCTCTCTTTGAAACAGAGAGGGAAAGAACTGTTGTGCCTGAGAGAAGGAATGACGCTTTCAGGGTTAGGATTGCAATCAATTAACGCTTACTGGGAAGGGGGGAAAAGACAATTAGACTAAGAGCCACCAAGCTTTGTTTCTGCAGATTGGGAGAAGGTGAAGAGAAAATGAGAACAAAATTAACTAATGCCTGGCAATCAAGCTGGGTCACTGCCATTTAGGTGTCTTACACACTATCATCTGTATTGCAGAAACACTGACAGATTTCCGCCAGGAGCGAGGCCCCATTGTGCTGGGTGCTACCTATGATCCCACACACATTCCATGCCCCAGAGAGCCAGTCTTAACTTCTAACCAAGGAAGAGTGGAGGACAAAGGAACAGGTGACAGTGACACAGTCATGTTCAGAGTAAAAGCAGAGGGTACACGGGATGCTAGACATTGTTGAATGTTTTCTAGACACCCCAGTAGAAGGGAGCTTCAGGGTGGGTTTGAAGGATGATTCTCTCTCTCTCTCTCAACTGAGTTCCAGAATGATTCCCCCTGCAAGAGACTGATAATAAACACACCGTGACTGACAGGAAGAAGGCTGCATGTGCACAGGTGCCACTTATGTCAGTAATGTTACTTACTTGACAGATCAAAAAGAAAGAGTCTGGTCAAGGTGGAGAGACGTAAAACAACTATATTTGACTGAGGAATGCATGTCAATCTGGCACAAGCAGACAAAGAACATTTATTCACTCTTTTGGTAAAAGGCTTATTTAAGAAAAGACGTTCTGACTAATAATCCTGGAAGAAAACTTGAAACTAGCAGCTGTACCTTATTGGTTAGAATGGAGAGCTCAGAGTCAGAATCCGCATCCTCATCCCAGCTCTGCCACGTATTCACTGTGCAACCCTGGACAAATCACAACAGCTCTGTGCCTCAGTTTTCTCATCTTTACAATGGGGAGCATAATGATAGGCAGCCCACATGCGGATGAATGAGGCCAAATTCATCAGTATCTAAAGTGCTTTCTGGCCGCTGAAGTCCTTTTAACACTGCAAAGTATTTTCTAAGTGAATATATAACTTAAAACAGACAGTGCAGCCAGTTGTTCTGTCACACACAAGGACACACCACATCCACAGATGATCATAAACTAAAGGTTAAATGTAAATCATTAAGAGGAATTGTATCATACTAATGATGCTTCATTGCCCTAATGACCTACTTGAAAAACTAATCAGCAAATAGCGAAGTAGTAAATTGAATGAATCAACGATATTTAAAGCAGACTTTAAAAAAAACAGTAAAAAGTTTGTTAGTACCTATACCTGTCGCGTCTTCCCTCTCGGGTGCTGCTGTGACTGTAGCTCGTGCACAGTTTGCTGAATGACACCAACTTCAAATCTAGCTCATTCTCCAGCTGTCTGGCCTGTTTCCTGAGATCTGAACAATAATGGAACGACAAATGTTAGAGGTTAACAAGTCCCCTTTACAATCCACTATATTTGGGTTTTGATTTTTACAACAGATCATTTTCGGTGCATAACAAAGGAGAGAAAGTCAGAGCATGAGGCTACATTCTTAAATGTAAGAAGTTGAGCAAGATCTATTGCAAAGAAGACTGAACATCTAGGTTTATGTGCAAGTCAGGAAAAGACAGAAGTAACAGCTGTTCCATCACTGCTGATCAGACAGTGTTCCAGAGACTTGGCCAGCATGGGGAAGCCCTTTGGTCATTTAGAGCTGGACTGAACAAAGCACTGGAAGACTCAAAGTATAGATTTTTAAGCCTTGTGAGTCAGGGACTGTGTCTTCTGCTGTGGTTTATATGGTTCCAGTGTTATTAGTATTAATCAATATAAAGCAACATCCCAGGATCTGACTCATGACCTAAATGGTTGCCTCCATTAATAGCATCTATGATTGTCACACAATGCAGTCTCATCTTCACACAAGACAAGGTCAGTTAGGGAAAGTTAGAAACTATAAAGTTTCAGGGAAAAGAAAACTAGAAAATCCTAGTGACAAACTTCTCCAAGGAATTCAGGCACATAATTCTCACTGCCTCAAATGCTCCTAAATCCCACTGGCATCTTTGAAAATCTCCACCCAAAGATTATCAGTTCCTCTCCTCCAGTAAATCTCAGATCAATTATCTTCTGGAGTGCAATAGGCCTCACATTGTCTTTAAATGCTAGTCACACTGTTAAGAGAGAAAACATCAGACTGACTGGGCCAAAATTTGACCAGTTTGTAGTTGTATACTTGTTTTTGCAACATCTAAGTCTTTACACGTCGTGCCCCCCCTGCCCGGACAGGAAGATATTTCCCCCCAAATATCTTAGTAATATACTCTCTTTTACTATTTTAACACACAGATCAGTACACATTTTCAAAACCAAAATGTTACAGTTCCTCTCTGAGTCTTCATTAACATTACTTTTTCCCCAATCGTTCCTGGAAAATAGGTCACAGTTATAGGAATATAGGATATGACAGACCGATGACTGCTGCTTCAAGCTGGTATGCCACCTTTAGCAGAAGGTCGCAAAATATTGCATACTGAGCCTAACCAATTGCTGGTAACACACAGATAAGATGTCTACTTTTTCACACCACAGACCATTTTAGAGATACTTTCATGAATGCTTTCTATGCCTACGTCCAAAACTTGAATCACCTCTTCTTTAAAGCAACCACAGATCTCTGGCTACAAGATGAAATCAAAGTAACGATGTAAAAGCAACAATATAGAAATAGACTTATTTAATATGGCACAAATAGTTGTTGGGTTCTCTCTCATTGTGATTTTGTGCTACTTCTTCTCCCTGGATATAGGTCTTCACATTTGCTAGAAATAAACTTATCCTTATTCCCTGAAACCTTCCAGCATGTTAGCCATATTATCCAATATTTTGGACTTTGTTGGCAAATTGATCAACACTAGGATTGTTAAAATGCATTTATTTTTGTAAACATGTAACCCATGTGGAGGGGGGCACAGGATCATCAGTTAACCATGTACACATTCACATCTCTAGTCAACACTGAGTTTTCATCTAAAAACACACAGTACAAAGAGATGGGAAGCACCTGCCTCGCAGAGATGAAACTTAGCTTTGCAATTTGCTGATCAAAATGATGCGTTAGCGAGTGGAAACCTTAACAGAACCTGTGACAGGGCTAGGGCTAGCAAAATGCATTTGTGTTAGGAAAGTATAAGATGCCTCACTAGAAGCACTAGCAGTTCTGTAGGTCTCTTGGAAGCAGTCAGCCAGACCAGGTGACAAATAGTTGCAAAGAGACCATATGGAAGAAGGAAATCATTCCTGACCATTGCAGGCCATCTGTTTAGGACCTTTAACATAAGTGCAAAGTACTCTTCCCCCCTTTTTTCAGTATATATGTACAATAGTCCTGGGATCACTGAAATACAGCACACACAAACTGAAAAGCAAACACACAGCCATATTTCTACATTGTTAACACTGTCACGGTGCAGTGCTTTTGAAAAAAATAGGCAGTACTGTATTATCAAAGCTCTCAAGGCCTGAAGAGGCACAAGGCACATTCAAGATAGGGGAACAGTCAAGTTCCAACGTCTCCCTTTGGATCCTTGGCAAACTGAGCCACTTTGGCACCCTTTGCCTTGCTCCCCGACCCCAGGACAAAATGCAGGGCAGACCTACGCAGTGGCTGGGAAGAGTGAACTTTTCCAAACCAGGTCTGACAAAATTAAAGCAGCCCCCTGCCAAGGGCCAGAGGCTGTATGAGCCCACGCTGCTAACGGTGGGTGGGGTCTTTTCTCCAGCCTGAGTCCCCAGATGCATGTGTCTGGCAGCATCCCCTTCCCAACCATGATACAGTGAGAAACACCCCCCAAGGCTAGACGGGTAATGGGACCCCAGGTCACACCTCCTCCCTCACCCACACAGGTCCCTGAGCAAAGGCGAGGCCTCTGCTTCTGGATCCCGATCCCCTATGGACACCGCCCCAGAGACCACATGCTAA